AAGCCCCCGTGTTTATGGCATCAAAATATTGTCTTTAATTCCAAAGTCCTCTCTTCTGTTCCATTTCACAGAGACAACTGCAAACAGGGGTGTAAAATTAGTGTAAGGAATATATAAAATAATGTTAGTTTATATGTCACTCATACAGTTTGTTACATTAGCTGAGGTAGATCTTAAAGCACCCCGAGTCCCCTGCATTTGTGGCATCAAAATATTGTCCCTAATTCCAAAGTACCATCATCTACTGCATTTCACAAAGACAACTGCAAACAGGAGGGTAAAATTATTTAGGTTATTTTAAGTAATATACTAAATAGCATTACTTTATATGCCACTGATATGAAAGGCAGTTTATTCTATGAGCTAAAGCACCCTCAGTCCCCTGTGTTTGTGGCAGCAAAATATTTCCTCTAATTCCAAAGTCCTGTTTTCTAATGCATTTCACAGAGACAACTGCAAAGAGGAAGGCAAAATTATTTTAAGGAAGATAAAAAATAACAGTAATTTATATGCCACTGATATAAAAGACAGTTTATTCCATTAGCTGAGCTACATCTTAAAGCACCCCAAGTCCCCTACATTTAGGGTATCAGAATATTCCCTCTAATTCCAAAGTACTGTTTTCTATTCCATTTCACAAAGACAACTGCAAAGAGGAACATAAAATTCTTTTGAGGAATATAAAAGTACCATTAATTCCTCTGCCACTGATTCCACATAAAGTCTGTATAAGTTAATGGAGGTTTCTAGGTCAGTGGGAAACACATGATGCAATCGAATGGGGAGAAATGCAGCAGCCAATTTAAAAATCTGATTTTCAATACAAATAATTGACAGGAAAAGTAGGTTAAAAAACGTACAGAATGTAATTTGTTAATCCCACTTTAAATTTAAATCACGAGCGTGGTGTTGCCTCTTTAAATGATGCTCAAAGTAAATAAGAGATATTAAAATCCAGGGATTCTATTTGAAGCTTGCTTTGCTGCAGCAGTGTGATTTCTATCAAAAGAACAATTCCTTGCCTTCCAGAACCAACTGCACTTGATTTACAGGCAGCACATGACACGAAGTAATTTGAGATGACACACGATACCTCCTGTCCGTGGTTTAACACAGGGGAGGCAGCAGCACAAACCAGAATGTTGATTTTATCTCCACATTTACATTGGATCTTGTGTTCAGGAGCGTGGAACTGGGAGCTAAAGCTGCCTGAATCCCAGCTCCTTCCCTTTAATGCAGATGTGTTTGCTCTGGGATATGATAGCATGCAATAAATCAGCATTTTTATCTCCTTTGACTCATTCTGTGTGTCTTCAATTACATGAATATATTCCCAATTACATGAATATATTCCCAGTCACATGAATATATTCCCAATTACATGAATATTTTCCCAATTACATGAATATATTCCCAATTACATGAATATATTCCCAATTACATGAATATATTCCCAGTTACATGAATATATTCCCAGTTACA